CTTGCACAGACGCCGGGCCCGCTGCAGAAGGCCTGCGTCCGGGACCCAGACCAGGGCAGCTGCGGCAAAGCCGCGGCCAAAGTGCCAAAGCTGCCATTGCGAAGACGAAGGCGCAGGCAGCAAAAGGCTCCCTCTTTTGCTCTTGATAGGCGCGGGTAATTAGAAGCGGAAAGAAACGTTGAGGCCCAGCGGTGCTCTCGGAGGCAGGAGTCTGAGAAGTTTTGTCCTGCGACTCGCGAGTTGCCTGAAGTGTGTCAGCTTGTAGGGCTGCTCTGTCTGTTAGGGCTTTTCCGAGCCGAGCCCCTGCGCCTAGATCTCGCTGACGCTGTTAGTCGCGAAAACAGCGCCTGGCCGCAGCCTCTTGCCCGGCAGTGTTCGAGATTAGCGCGCCGCCCTGCATCTTCAAGGGCATCTGCCTACTTGGCAGCCCGTTGCTGGGCCCACAGAAACAAGTGTCCGGCGCTGGGCATCGATGTTGGCAAAACTGCAGAAGTACAAGTGTTTGAAGGATCACAATCATGGACAGTCCAGGGGGGGCGGCCCTGAAACCTGCAGAGTCCCTTGAAGCGGTCCTCCTTCTTCCTGGACTTTGCTTTAAGACCCAAGCCAGACGCGGAAGAGCCTTGCCGGCCGCAGCCCTTAAACCGGTTGAACTGTTGTCCTGGTCCAGACTTCTGTCCACTGATGAGGGCAAGACTAGAGTCGCTCACCACAAGGAAAACGCCCTGTCGGCCACACATTGAACTCTGCCGGGCTTGACGCACGTACTCATCACTCCACACAGCGCAAGCACTCTGTGGAGTAGCTTTGGAGTTCAGCATTTCCTGCGTGCTGCTTGCGGCTTAGCTGAACAGGACCACCCGCCAGTAGAGGTTGGCCTGGTCAACTACATAGACCATATCGGCCATATCGGCTACCGACAAAGGAAGCCTGAAAGCGGCAACGAGGGCAAACTTGTTGTTCTTTTCAGCTAGCTGACCGGATGCACATTTCAATGACATGTTCATGTCGCAAGCAAACTCCGAAAAAGACACTCATGGATCAGGTCAGTCACTTGGTACGTGTAACGGCTTCTACATCGTCGTTTACTGGTCGAGCAACGAGCTTGTCGGAGCAGGTGGAATCGTCAATGAGCTGGGTAGAGGTGGAGACGGTCGCTGGCCTATCTTGTTCAACGACCTTTACGGACAGCCTGTTGGCCTTGGGGTGATTCAAGCTCCTTTGCAAGAAGGAGTCAACAATCCTTGTGGCGATGCAAGAGTGGACAACTACCGCATGAACGACACGCTCGAGAACCGGAAGATCACGGTGGAGTGGATGAGGATTTTTCGCCCCGGAGTCCGTCAAGATCGTATGGCTGAGCAGGGCCACACCAGGGACAACTGAGCAGGCCGGATACTGAGCATCTTCGTGAACCGCTGCAAAACTTTGAAGCAGGTCATCAGCCAGGTCAATGTGCTTCCTGGGATGCGCCACATCCTCACCTTCGGCCAAGAGTCTCCAAAGCTCCGGGCAAGTGGAGTCGAAGAGCTTGAGGCCGAAACCAAGCAACTACGCGCAAGCTGATGCGCTTGCTGTCGCGAAGCGCCAGGCCTGCCAGAGCTGCCAGTGGCAGCTCTTCTGCCCATCGCGTCGCTAACACGAATAAGAAGCAAAGCGCTTCCTCCTCCTCATCCAGGCCTGCGCGTTCACAACCGTACACGCGACAGCAGCAGTGGGACTGGAGCTGGAGCTCGTGGTCTTCCAGGTCTTCGAGCTGGAGATGGTGAATGATAAGATCATCTCAAAGGTGTCCATGTGAGAGTTGCAGTGGTAAGATGGTGTTCGAATATGTGCTTTTCCTTTTCACAGGATGTACAGATGCTCAGTTCAGTATCAAATTGTTAAGCGGGTCGCAAAACCTGCCGTAGCATCTTCGATTTGCAATCTCATACGCCTGGAGCGTGGAATGCAGTCCCAACCCTGTGCACCTGTCGATTGCTCAAGACATCAGTAGCGCTGCGCAATGCGAAAAGGTTGTTAGCGGATTCGTGCCTAGGGTTTTCACCGTAGGTGGCCTAGGCTTGATAACACAAACAAGCCCCACGGTGTGTACTGCCACTCGCGCAACGAGCTGTATCAAACTGCTACGCACAAGCGCCGACGCACAAACTGGCGACAGATACTGCAAAGCTACACGGTCATCGCAACATGGGTTCGTTAACAGTCAGGCAGCTATAGTCTACTATATCAGTTAGCAGCAGTTAGCTTGACTTATCATTTTACTTATTCTAATTTTAATTCTTTTAGTTATCTGAGTTATTTTAACTATTTTAGTTATCCGACAATGGGGCATTTCTGCCAAAAACATGTTAGCTAGAAAAAAAAGCTGCTAAAAGCATGACTTGAAAACGCGCAAACGGTGACGTTGATATATGCGTTTCTTTTGATTGTTTTGAGTTTTGTTGGGGTGTAGTTGGTTTGTGTTACTGCGCGGCTGATCAGCGCTTTTCGGCAAAACGAAATGCTTGGCTCGAGGAAAAACAAATAAGATATGTATATGCAACATTTACATAAATACAGCGCGCACGATAAATATGTAATTATACAGCCGCGCTGTTTACGCGGCACCACTTGTTTTTACCCCAGGCGCAGCAGAGATTGATCTGCGGACGCAAGGTTTCCGTCACAGTCTTCATTTTGGCGCTGAGTGTCCACCGCGACGCGCGCACGGGCTTGATCAGCGCGACGTCTTCCAGCTGGGCCTGCGAAAGCCGACGGAATGCCCAGCCCTGCAGCAACACTTGCCGCGCGGCGATCGCAGCACACCTCTTTTGCGGCCAGAGGCGCGCTTGCCGCACGTTTCGGCCGCTAGCGGCGATGTGCTTCGCACGCGCGGCGAAGCCTGCGTAGCGCGAGCTGCAACAACGGCCGCCTTCTCTTCATTGCGCAAGAGCTGCGCTTCGACCCATGCGTGCAACTGGCGCCTTTTGCTTTGCGGGTTTTTGCTTTTTTCCGCTAGGCTTGCGCTGCTGCAACTTGGCGTGCGCGTGCTGCGCGCTCCAACTGGTGAGAGAAGCAAGCGCTGCAGAGACCCTGCGAAAATGCCTCCGCCCGCAAACTGGCCGACCCTGTCCGCAATGCAGCGCGATGTGCCGCGATGTGCAGCGGCGTTTGCCCGCAGCGCTGTTTTTGGACGCGCCGCGGCCTTCTTTGCTTGACAATATGTAAAGGCGCAGTATTTTTTGGGGCCCCGTGGAATGTGCCGCGGCTTTCCTGCTCCAGCAGCCCATGTGCAGAGACTAGAAACTTGCAAAGCGGAGTCAAAAACAAAAACCCTGGCCAGACGAAACTTGTCACAGTCGACAAGAAGAAAGGGGGAAGGTGGGAAGCAAATTCAACTACGTCACGGAAAGAAGCAAGCGGACTTCGCCAAAGCTTGCTGCAGAGATACACATGAAGCAGCTGCTGCCCGGGAGCCCTCATGGAACCAGTCGCGGCGAACCACGTGTTTCACTGTCTATATTTCAATCATGTTTGCAGATGAAGCGAAGGCTCCGATGAAAAAATCCTGCTGCTGAAATGCTCGCCGTGGAAGCCCGCCGTTCTACAGACATCACATGTGAAGCGAAGGCCCCCGTGGAAAAACCCTGCTGCTGAAATGCTCGCCGTGGCAACTTGCTTCCATGTCAGAGACATCACGTGTGAAGCGAAGGCTCCCATGGAAAAATCCTGCTGCTGAAGCGCTTGCCGTGGAAACCTGCGTGTTCCATTTTACGGACATCACGTGTGAAGCGAAGGCCCTCATGAAAAAAAAACCTGCTGCTGAAACGCTCTCCGTGCAAACCCGCGGCAGAAAACTTCGGGTTCAGCATAGCCAACAAAAACCCTGCCTGGCGAAAACTCAGCCAAGTGTGGGAAGCCCTGGCTGCCCAAAGACACAAAGCTTACGCGAAAGCATACCCAAAGGACAAACACACATGCAAAAAAAATCCGAGGACCGAACGCTCAAGCAACAGGCGCACTTGTGAAGCACAGGCTCCCATGGACTCCTGCTTGTCAACAACTCGCCACGTCAAATATGCTGGTGTTTCCATGACTGTGCAGATTTTTTCAAGTCTATTACGAATTACGCATTATTAGCTGCTTATTATACCAAACTCGATAGTTCGTTGCGATTTGCGAATTTTGTTGCTTTTGCAAAACGTGCATACAAGGCGCCTGAAAAGTAATTTCTAGTTTTTTTTAATTAGTTTTGCTTATTCTAGTTATTTGCAGTTAGTTCCAGTTATCTTAGATACACAATTGCTAGTTCTGCCAACCTTGACTATAAATCCCCTTATGCCAATAAGCGCGTGCACGACGGGTGCCCTTGGGCAGGCGTGCGGAGTGCGCCGGCAGTTGTTTGCAATTTTCTCATGCAGCTGTGTCCCGCATCACAAGATAACATGCCGGTTGTAGTTGGCGGACGCAGTCTTTCCGGCTCTGCCTGCTTGCTGGCCTTCCGCCTGCTGCCCTGCCTGCCCGATTGCTTTCCTGGTTGCTCAGTTTCTGCTTTTTGGGTTGCTCGACGGCCACTTCGTGCGCGCGCTCGTTCTTTCAATGTGACCAGCCGGCGCATGGCGCAAGTGTTTGATTCCAGTTTTACCAACCCTTGTTGCTCAAATTCAGTAGCTGATGGCTTGCGCGCAGGCGGCCATGTTTCTTCGAGTTGATGCCCGCCAAAAGTTCATTGCACTGAGATCTTTCAAGACAAATGCGCAACACCTCTACAGGCTATGATGAGCTGGCCAGTAGGTGGTCTCTAGCATTTCACCCCGCAGTTCTGGTTTTTGCAAGGCGCGCTACAAGTCTTTTGTCATGCTTTGACTTGCAACGAGGCGATCGGCCGGAGTCTTTTGGGGATGTGTGTTTTCCCGGCAAGCATTCATTTTGAACTGTTGCTTTGCGGGCGGAACTCTGGGAGGCTTTCCTTGACAGCCGCGAACGGGGCGCGCGTGTCATGGCCATCGTTCGGCCAGGCCGCCCAGCGAGCGCTGATTTGCCAGATTCTGCGGGGTAAGTCTGGCGTTCAGCTGCCCAGGATCCCCACTTTCTAGACTTTATGGTTACCCCACTCAGAGAAGTATTCTTGAAGCGCACAATCTGTTTGACACGCCCCTCCCGCAATTTGAGATTGCAGGTCAATATAGGGTTTGTCGCAAGTGGGCCCGGCAACTGATCCACCGGACTGCCGGACATCGTTGGATCAGCAGTGGATCAGCGGATCGTCGGACCAGTGGATCATCGGACCAGTGGATCATCGGATCAGCGGACCGGAGGACAAGCAGAACGTTGGATCAGCGCATCGCACCAGCAGACCAGCGGCTCGTTGGACACCAGCACCAGCGTGCCAGCAGCTCATCGGATCCTCGGACCAGCGGACCAGCGGCTCGTCGGACCAGCGGATTATTTGATCAGCGGACCAGCAAAGCAGGGGCCGGCAGATCTGCCAATTTGGGAGAACCCACCCCAGCCTCACGGCAAGGCGTGTGGGACACGAGAAGGCAATGACAGCGCGCAGCGCTCAGGCGCAGAACCCGGCGCGTGTTGTCCTCTTGCTGCAGCTGCACGCGCAACTAGCTTTTCCTCTGCTGCGTTCACAGTGTCAAGCTTGCTTGCTTCAAGCTTCTGTGACTGACAAGCTGGCCATGGACCAAAGATTGGCGTGTCTCGTTGGTGTCATTGAAGCTGCCCGCGCGGCAGCAGGTGCCTCCGCAGGTTGGCCGTGCCTCCGCAGGTTGGCCGCAGAGTCGCTCAGCTCACATTGGCCACTTCCTCCAGCCCCTGCTGCTTTGCCCTGCGCCGACTTGCTCAAGAACATGGAAGCGCCAGTGTTGCCAGCTTTCCAAGCAGCGTTCACAGTGGAGGCCACTGACACAGCATCAATGCTGTCAGGATCCTTGACTTCACCATCACCTTCCAGCCGATGACCACATTCCAAACGTCCAGGGCGGGGAGTGCCGGGCAGTCTGCAGAACATCTCCAGACTTTTCATGCCAGCGCGGGTTTGTAGATGCGAGGCTGGATTTCCTTGAGATCGCGCTCGCTTTGCAGCGGACAGGCTCTGGGTAAGAAGCTAGGTAGAGGCAGCGCGGCGCGACGTCGACCGGCAGTACTTGGCGGCTATAAAGTCTGTGTGGGGGTTGTGGGACCCTCCGCGCTTAATCAGCTCGGGCACCTGGGCTGCACAGACGGCGCGCCATGAGTTCCCGCACGCGCTCATCGACTATGCGCAGACCAGGACATGCTCGTGGAAGCAGCGTGCGACCAGTGGTAGGCACGGGCAATAAAACTTGTACTATTGATGTGTGTATTTTTATAGCATTCTGAGAGGCATGACTGTTCATGTTTGTGCAAGTTTTGCCTGCGGCCGAAGGGCGCTGTGTTGTTTGCTGCGGCGTGCGCCGGTGTGCTACTGACTTCAAGCAGGTGAAGAGTTCTGGCAATCTTCCTGGTGAAGGCAATGGTTTGGTGTTCTGGGCAACCTTGATGAGACGTACGGCTGCGTTCGGCCTCTTGTCAGCTGCGCCAGAGTGCCCTGCACAAGCTCTTGCAGTTTGGACCTGTAGCCCGGGCGACCAAGACACTTCCGGCAATGGCATCTTGCTAGTAACACGCGTCCAGCCACGTACGTGCCCACGGAGCGCTCCGAGACGGGCGCCCACCGTGCAGCCAAAAACGCACGAAGATCTTCCAGAAGATTCGCCATTACCTTCAGGCGCGGCCGGCTGCGCCTCTTTTGCAGGAGTAGCGAAGGCAAGAGACAGCGGATTTCATTCCGTCTGAAGAAGGCTATCCGGTCAAGCCCGGTCCTGGCATGTTCTGCCATACTTTGCTCTTGGCCCTGCAGATGGGTGACAGACTACTTTGCTTCTCCCCACATGACGCTGGAGTTCTCTCATGATTCATGATGCAGCGCAGTGGCACATGGTCTGCGCGTGCAGAGGCAGGTGACCGACAGCGAGGAGACACAATGTCCGGCGCCTGTTTGGGCGCCGCGCCTTGGCAGATTGGAGTTCTCGCAGAGTATCAAAATTGTTGAGTCCTCACTTACCGGCAGACTGAACAAGCGCTCTCCCCCAGCAACGCATAGTCACAGATTGCAGTGCTGCACGGTCAGGGGAAAGCAACTAGTTGTGGTAGTGCCTAACTTTCATTTTCATGCTTGGCCCAGTTTTTTTTGAGGCCTATTCGCTCAAAGCCCTTGCCTCCTCAAGGAAGCCACAGCCGCCGCAGCCCACGCTTGTGGATTTCTCTGCCTTGGCAAAGCGCGCAGAAAGCGATGCGCGCTCTGAGCGCAGCCGCCTCCCCATCCATCTCCACCAGCTGCAGGCGCCGCCCACACACTCACCCGTGACCAAGTGCGATCGTTGGATTTGGGGTACGGTGAAGGCGGTCTTTCTGTTCAGTGCTCCTTGCGCGCGAAGCACCTGACGGACAGGCATATATAGTCAAGATGACATTGCTACAGGGCACGCCAAAGATCACTTGCAAGCAGGCCTGCAACAAGCCCCGCAGTTCCAGGGACAAGGGGCGCAAGACGCTGCCTAAAACTAACTGGATGACTGTGATGACCAGTGCTTGCCAGGAGTGCCTGCTTCTCCATCTCAGTGTCGACGAGTTGCATGCCCTTGGTTGCAAAGCGGCGTGGGGTCGAGACCACAGGCGTTTCATTTTTTGCCCAGGCTCTGGCGAGAGTGCCGCAGTTTGCTTCAAGGTTGTGCTGATGCACGGCTTTCCAATCATTGATCCCAGGAACAGCCCCTGATTTTCAACCAACAAGGTCCCCAAATTTCGGCGCCACCCTGGAGGACACCGAAGACCACCGTCTGCGAGGTGACAGTCGCGTAGAGCTTCAGATCTTGGAGACGGGCGGCAAAGGAAGATCTGCTTGGGTCTCCGAAGGCTCCTTGAGCACGTGCTTCCAACAGGCACGGCAAACGCCGCGAAAGAAGCGTCGTGTTGAGGCAGCGCCAGAGACGACCTGCCAACTTTGCTCCTTTCAGATTCTGCCTTTCGGAGTCACTTGCGCTACACACGAAGAAACTGGGCCAAACGTGATGCTGGCGAAAACTGCTGCCATCCCGCGTGTCTGCCTCATCCGGCTGCCACCTGTTCAAGAACTGCTTGAAGAGGGAGAAGGCCAGCGGAACCGCCAAAGTTTGAAATTCTACAACTTCATTCCGAAGAACATCCTTCAGGTGCTGCCGTTACCTTATGGAGCCATTTTTGCTTTTTGGTTTCAGACGCTTGGCAAAATGAGTCAGTGCGATTGCCCATGTGGAACGGTAGATGGCGAAGCCCAACGCAGGCGGCGCAATGGAGGCGGCAGCTGCACTTCTGTGCGAGTTCACATTCACGTGGCTATCGGCCTACCGCCGCCAAACCAAACATATGAGCCGCTTCGGCTTTCTGTTCTTCCTGCAGCAGATGGCTTGGTCGCACAATGATCATTGACGCTCTAAAATCTTGGGTTGGGCTTTGGGTTGCTGCCAAACCTGTAAAAGCCAGCGTGTAGAGGGCTGTTTCTGCGGACCGGTCCTTACCTGCCTGCTTCCCAGGTGCTGGAGATGTTTGGCGGCGGCTTCCCTGCGCGTGTGTGCCGGGTCCGCAAGCTCGCGTGAGCAAATCTCTAGCTTTGCGGACTCGTGGGCCAAAGAGGGACCCGTGGGCCATCGGATCATCAGACCGTCGGATCGGCGGACCAGCGGATCATCGGACCATTGGAAAAGGCAGCCGCCAGATCATCGGATCATCGGACGAGCTGCGGATCATCGGATCAGCGGACCGATCACGGACCATCATCATCGGACCAGCGGATCATCGGACCAGCGGCCCAGCGGACCATGTTGGATCACGGTCATAAGTTGGAAGCGAAAGCTGGCGCTGTCAGGCAGAATTAACGCTGAGGAGATTTGAGACGTCAGTCCGCAAAATGTCGGCAGAATCTTCCTGGGGCTTGCGTAACGACCGGCGCCCCTTTCTTTCTTTCTTTCTTTCTTTCTTTCTTTCTTTCTTTCTTTCTTTCTGTCTGTCTTTCTGTCTTTCTGTCTTTCTGTCTTTCTGTCTTTCTGTCTTTCTGTCTTTCTTTCTTGCTTTGTTTCTTTCTTTCTTTCTTTCTTTCTTTCTTTCTTTCTTTCTTTCTTTCTTTCTTTCTTTCTTTCTTTCTTTCTGTATTTTTCTGTGTGCGTAAACGGGGCGCCTTAACTCTTGGTTCCCAACAAGGAAGCGGTCCCAAACCAAGATAATGACGCCAAACCAAGACACGCGCCCGACATTCTCCTTCGGCGCCGCGTGCCATACACTGCCGCATGGACACGCAACTTGCGCGGCAGGAGTTGAGCAGCCGTTGTTACGTCAAGGGTATTCTCAATGGCAACTAATTTTGTGGGCTCAAATACGAAGAGTTTTTCTTTCTCTCTCTATATCCCTCATGCTCTCTCTCCTTAAAGATGCAAGTGGCACGATGCTAAATTCCAGCTGCCCCAAGTTCCGATTGCTTTCCAACTATTTCACCTTTCAATTCACGCTGCGGGGCAATCCCGTGGCAGCGCATGTCTCACTGTGTGCAGAGGGGAGTTTCAGAGGCAGGCAGAAGCGAGATTGCCTGGCTGCCAGGAAGGAGATTGCCCAGACTCTGTTGAAGCAAGGCCCTTGCTTCGACATGGTTCCTTGGGTTTCTTGAACTCGATTGCAGCCAGCTTGTTCTTGCAACATTGCTTCCCTTGCGCTTGCTTGCGTAGTTTCAGCCAAGAGTATCCTGGAGATCTTGCCTTCTTTGAAGTTTGTACGTGTCCAACTCAAGCCTCGTTGAATGGAACCTACACATTGTTCAGTTCAGCCCAGGCTTGCCCAGTTGGAAGGAAGACTTGGAGGTTTCAAGATATTACATGCGTGTGTGTGTGTGTGTGCGGGTGTGGAACATTTGGCCGTGAAGGGCAGCTTTTCTTGGAGTTACATCTCAGGCAGTGGCCGCTCAATAACGTGGCGAGTTGCTT